TCTCTGTAATAAACTCTCTTTTCCAAAGATGAGTGATTTCTCGATCAGATAGATTTATTATTTTATCCCTTTGTTGTTTCAGCAACATTTAAATTTAAATGAACTCTACACATTCTGCCGAGAACAGTCGTCAAATATCCAGTTAGAATTGTGAAAAAAGCTTGTTGATGGCCCTCAAAACCATCTGTTTGAGGTGCAACTTGTTAACTTTCAGTGGGAGGCTATGTAGACATTTGAGCCTGTATGAATACTTTTGACACTGTGTGGATTAGAGGAAAGCCAAAATAAATTCTAACTTGTGCAACTCAATTTTATTTATATATAAATAAATAGCTCCAGATCACAACAACACTTATCTCAAGGTGACACTTATGAGAAGAAAGAACTTATAATTGTAGAGACAAAACCCAAACAATTAAACAACTTATTTTGAGCAAGCAGTCGACAACAACAGGAAGGAAAAACTCCCATTTAACAGGAAGAAACCTCCAGCAGAGCCAGGCAAAGGGAGGGGCAGCCATCTGCCGCTACTGGTTGCGGGTGATGGGAGGAAGACAGGACAAAAGACGCTGTGGAAGAGAGACAGAGATTAATAGTAACTAATGATTAAATGCAGAGTGGTGTATACACCCACAGTGAGTGAAAAAGTACAGTCATTTCACCCTGGTGAAAGAACAGTTCAAAGAAATGAAAGGCCCAAATTACCATGACAGTCATGCACATGATGAGTGGATGTAAACTTCTGACCACAAACAAAAAGAAAACACCCTGGGTGTCTGCTTATTACTGTCCAACAGTAGCTATTGAGATGCTTCACAACAGTACTCACCACATATACGAACCATATTAATATATTAATATGAACAATATCACCTCAGAATTATTAATTTTTAAAAAATAAAATGGAATAAAATATTGTCATTGTGAACTATCCGTCACCATTTGGAAATTCAGTCATTCGTTTAGTATTAAGCTATTCTAGCAGTCTGGATAACACTTTTAATTAGAACCAATATGTCACTCTATGTGTTTTAAACCATAGTTAGCCGGTTTGCAAGCTCAGTAATCCGAATTACAGCCTCTGGTGACCATCTGCCGTCTGCATAGACAGCTCCGCGCACTACTTTGTTACTGAATTCACCTCAGCCCGCCCCCTCCGTGTGTGTCTCTCTGTGTGTGGGGGGTTATAGCCTACCGGGCGGAGTAATTCGTGCTGGTATCTATTGAGTGCATGCGTGCGCGAGTGCGTGCTACGGCTTCAGCCTGTCACTCTCGTTGTGCCGCGGCGCGAACACGGGTAGCAAGAAGGACCAAAAATCCGCCTGGTATCAGTTGTTGTCCCTGGAAAGACTGTTTCCCCCCCATCACTAGAGACACCTCTCTTGTTTTAAAGTGCGTCTGCTCTTCAAGGAGAATAGCTGTGACACATTACAATGCTTCAAATAAGGGACCTCATCTGGGGATTGTTATTCATCGGCTGTGCAGGTAAGATGAGTTATTTCTTGTTCTAGTCTAATATTAGGTTGTGTGGGGATTAATATCCAGCTGTAGGCAAAGCAAATCTGTGTGAAAGCGCAGGCCGAGACGTGTTGATTCTAGAGCAGCATCCTCTGGTCCCACCGGCGGCATCCTTGTCACTGACTCCGGACAGTGGCGCTGGGTTTGGAGCTCGAGCGCTGCAAAATTCACAGTTATCGCAAAAAGTTCTCCGAAAAGTGAGGCATCTCCCCCTCTCTGAGGGAAAGCGACATGAATTACTTAGCAGGGCGCATTTTATTCAGTTTTGGGGATATACAGTTTGATAGAGGCGCGTATCTCGGTGCGTTTTGAATATCCCTGCACAACACAGAGAAGTGCAGACGGCCAGTCTCTTTCATTCGGGGTGACTGCTCTCTCTAAGTTAAGTTATGCTACATATTTTTAATAATAATAATAAAAATCCCCACACGTGCTGCGTGCTGTGGAAGTTAAGCTCCTTAGTTCGTCCCTGTGGGTAAATAGAGGAGAAGGATGCTGCCAGAGACCGGTGGTGTTGCAGTGGGGCGCTTTTTGTGGTCCCCTTTATGTCAGCAGCCAGCTTATTGCTTATAGCCTCTTAAGTCGCTGCAAACGTCAACGGCAAACGAATATACTGTCATTCAAAAGTCCACCTCGGCTTTCTCAGTTCTGCTGGGTCAGACGTGACGCACCGAGGATGGGGTGTCCGGAGAGCCGATCGCTATTAGCGGGAACGCTTTGTTTTAGTCCACTGGAAACAGATTTACTGCCCTTTTTTCTCTTTATTACCTTAATATTCAATTTGTTTCCCGTACGCATGCGCTTAAAACTATCGAATAGATCGATAAGATGCACCCACAAATTTCCACTTGTGCCACGATCGGATTTGGCACATAACCAGTAGCTGTGCTGATGTGTCCGTGCGGGAGTTTAGTTTTTGCATCCCTGCTCTGATCATATAGGTCGACACTGAGGCATTGCCTCTGTTTTTGTTGTTTTTCTGGCCAATAAGGACTCTGTAGTTTCTAACTTAGTAGCGAGGTGCTTGTTTTTTTCTAACCTCCATGCGCAAAATGATGTCGACTTCGGCACAGACCCAGATTGATTTGATGGTACTTTTTAATTTCGTTGGTTGAGAGGAAATTCGTCATCCATTGAGGTAGACTGAATAGTCTTTCAATGTATACAATAGCATCCAATCCCAGAGCTCCCATGGTTATATAGGGCGGGAGGGGGACCCGTTTCCCCCCCCCAAAGCCCCCACCTCTCCCACCACCCACATCCTTCTCTCCTCCCTGCATTCACCTCCCCATTCCATACACTGCAACTGAGTGCTCAAAGAGGAGTTTGAGGACCCCCAGGGGTCCTTGGAGAGCGGAAGAATAGTTTGATGTTATAATTTGATTCAATTTAGTGTACATTATGGTGTAAAATGATTATTCTAACCCGGGGCCTCAGTTGCACTGTTGTTTCTCAGTGCTCTACAGGTCTATGCTTTTCTTGTCTATGGCAAAAAACAAAATAAAAAAACGAGCATTTTCTTCTCCCCCACTGAGATTAACTGCAGCCAATACAGCCACTGAGTCTGGATGAAATGACTGAAGGTACAGTTAAAATAACCAGAAGGCAAATCTTTTCATGTGCTAAAAAAGTAGCCTATCATCCGGCTATGCCTGTTTCGATTTATTGACATTTGACTCCTTTCCTTTCTTCCTTTCCTTTCCTTTCCTTGTATTTGTGCCACATGGCCATGACACATTATTTGGGGTAGACTGTTAAGTCACTTTTCCCCGAGCACGCATCATTAGGTTAAAGTTCATAGATGTAGCACTGTGAGACTGTATTGAATTATCCATGCAGTAGTCTCGGTCTGGCTAAATAATACATTTATTTCACAGTTGTGCTGAAGCCAACAGCCCTGTCTTTGCAGAATTTAGGGAAATCGAGCATGAAGAATGTGGGTCTACGCACAGGAAAATAATGTATATAGGCTAAAATAATGTGGACTGGGGAAATTGAGTGGATAAGACGACAGAATTTGAAGAAGGTGGATCATTACTGTGTATGTTGGAGGGTATTTTTCTTGTTTTGGTTTTGGTACATAAAACCTAAGCTGGCCTCCATGTGGCGCTGGGCGTGCCCCCAAAGGAGCTCCGGCTTTGTTTTTCTTGTTTGTATGATCTGGTGGTTTTTGAGTGTGATAGTGATGTTGATACTTGACGTTTAGGAAAATATTGATGTATTGATTACTGTCCAAACTTTTAAAACACAGGATTTGACATTTTGCACTTCACAAACAGCAACCAAAAAATGCACATTACATTTTTACCGCTGGGAAAACCAATGCTGTGATTTCTGCTGGGGAAAAAAAACCCCTACTTAAAATACTTTCAACAAGCTGCGCGAGGATCTAATGGGCTGTGTTGGGATAATGCGTGCGCCGGCTGATGTTTGTGGTTTCAATGAACCTTAAACTGCATCACTTGGCGCTGGCTTTTGAAAGTTTTCCAGAATATTTTTGGAGGTATTTCCAAATCAGCACCCAAACACTTGGGCACCCTGTCACTGATGTGGGTTTAGAGAGCGGCGCTGGGATGTTTTCATTTCTTCTATATGATTCACGACCCTGCCGAAATATTCTGACACCCCCACAATTTACCGCGCCTCCGCAGGGGAGGGAAAGAGAAAGGAACCAAGAGGGAGATAATTAGACAACTGTGCCTTAGCTGTACCCTCTTGCAACAAGGAGAAATTCAAATAAATTGATCGCATTATTTGATGGACCCGGGGTATATTGAAGGGGTAATGACAGTATCACACACTTTGAGGGCTGAGCAATTTAATTACATTTATTGATTTCCAGTTTCTGTTCCAGTTCGATGATAATTACATTTTTGAGGCTCGCGTCAAACATTAGGATGCAGAGCTACACCACCTTCCAAGATGTAACTGCATTATAATGCCGTTTTAGGAGTCGACACAGGTAGTGATCTTTCTCGACTTAAATTCAAGTCGAGTGTGCAGTGCCCGTTCTGACTGTGTTACTGAATTAAGCCACCACATCCATGGTGATCAGTTTGAAACTGGAAAAAGTAGAAGGTGATGCAGGGTAATCTGAGGGGAAAAGAAGCCCCGTTTATTAAAGTGAAAATGACACCGCCTCAGATTTATGACCTCAAGAATGTGAAGTTACAGATCTGAGGCATTTCTATTCTTTTTTTTTTAACCCTTTCATGCTCTGTGCTGTTGGCTATAGAGAAACCAACGCAGGGTTGCCTTCCAGTAAAAGTTTAAACTGGCTTTTATTGCACTGCAGCGCAGCATTGTCCAGCAGCGCCCTGCACTGACCAAATATGTGACCAAATATGTACTACTGGGCATTCCTGATCGATTAGTCTGACTTGAGGATAAAATATATTTATGATCAAATTACATTATTATGTTATTGAGTTGAATCGCCTTTTCTCGTGATATTGCAAACTGCTGTGCAGTGTTTTAGCATCTGACAGAATGGCAGAGTCTTGTCTCTCTTGCTGAAAGTGGATTGCCTCTGTTGGATTTCTTTATTCCTTTTGTTCCTGAAACAACAAGTTTGCAGGCTGAAGGCAGGCTAGATGCTGATGTGTACTTGCCATTCAGTTCATACAGTTATATGAAACTGCAGAGCAGTGCAAATCCATGTACTGTTCTGGCTGTAAAGCAGCATGTGTGTACTTTAATCAGTCAGCTGAACTACAGAAGGGAAGAAAAACGTTAGCTTAACATTTTGAGGGAGAAAATACACAAATCCTAAATGGCTAACATATGGGACTTTAACTGCTGTGGTGGGTTCAAAGCCACTATGAAAATAATACAGGCTATTTTTGACTTAGGGGAACTGGAAAAAGCAGCCAAACACAGGAAAATTATAAGGCATTTTTAGTCCGCTCTTTAAATAAAACTCGATTCTGGCTCTTTCAAGCTTTGCTCCATAGTTGCACTCTGGTCCATGCACCATTTGGCTTGGAGACATTTTGTACTAATGTACTATTACGGCTTTTTATGATCAAATTCTTGTCAGTACATGGACTGTTCAGATTGTAGCAGTACTCCTACTTGGATTCAGCTTCTGTTTAGCTAAATACTGCATGCCTGTGTCGCCGTACAGTTTATGTAAGAGAGCAACAGATCAAGTGACTTGTCATCATAATTGCAAGTTGATTCTCAAGATGTGAGTTCTTTGCTGCTGCCTACATTTACATAAAGTTCAGTCATTATTGCATCTACATTTTCACCCTATAGCTTTCTTTTTTCCCCTTCTTGCTGTGCTTCCCCCCCCCCCCCCCGGATTTGTTTATTGATCTCCATCTTTTGCAGCTTTTATTATTTGTCATATTATCCTTTCTCCCCTGAGAGTTCAACTCAAAACAGCCCACACAGCAGGACAGACACAGAGCCCTGTGTGTCTGAGTTGTATTATCTGCTAATTAGTGCAGACTAATAAAATACTAAAAATTGAACTCACTAAAACTGAAGCAGAAACTCCTTGGATCGTTTGTACCACACAGCACAGTCTGTTAGATAATTTCTTTTAAAAATGCTCCAACAGGCAACAACAGCACAGACATGGTGGAGAGGTGCAGTAATTGACTCTGAGTAGTCCAGCAGTCTGTGTTGGAACCCTTGTCAGTCACAGCATCCATCTGCACACTAACTCCAATATGCAGATGGATGGGTTTTAGAAAATGCACCCCTGTACACTTGCCACGAAGGGGGGAACTCTGGAGGCCCAAACTGTTTTGTGTACGAGGCTGTAAACATGCTTTTTAATGCTGTGAAATTGGCTGTTTTAAACACAGGACTCTATGTGGATTCGCTCGCTTTTTGAGTGGGCATTAGAGGAAATGCAGTTTTTGGCACTTATGCCTTGGCTTCGTTCTCCAGACCTGGAGGCTGCTGTTCGCCCCAGACAGTACTGGTGATAAACTTTACTTCATCATGATCACGAT